TCTTGGACTTGTCGAATTATTCGATCGTGTTATTTACGCGGTTATCATGTCGAAAGTTGTCATTTTTGTCATCCACGAAACCTCTGACCCCGTTATCCTCTCATGACAGTTCTCAGTCTAATCACTTTTGTTTTCGTCTATCCAGGCCGCCACGGGCATTGCACATCTCCTAAAGACAGCTATGGTGATGCATGGCGAGAAGGAAGAAGATGCTATCAAACGAATCTACATGTTTGACAGGGATGGTCTCCTTGTACATGTAAGTCGCGTCTGGTAGTTTTTGAAAACTCACTGTTAAAAACTGTCGAAGGTGGAACATTTACTACGGTTGTTGTAACGGTAAGAAGTGCTGTGCGGTGGAAGTATTCACTCATACTTTGACCTTTTCGATTTGGTTTTGACTAAAGAAGCGCGCATACGTCGGTCACTGGAACTATGTTTGTGCCTGGGCCTTCAGACTCTTAAGAGCCCAAGCTAGTTTTTGTTGCGTTCCCAGCCTCTTTGTGTGTGATCTGGCCTGATTACCTGCCGGTGTATATAATCTAATATCAAATGGTCCGTCTGCGCCATTTTGATCTAAGCTTCTTTCTGATTCCCTGTTGTAATGTGCTCTTTTTCCTCTGAAGCATGTTTGATCCGCGGTAGATGATTTTTTCTTGCCTGAGCCAGCTTCTCTTTCTGTTTGTCTATTTGTGAATGCAGAGCTTCCATTTTTTGAAAGCCAGCAACTGACCTTATGTGTTTTTGTTCATCGCCGCAACAGTGTGTGTTAGTTTTTTAAAGGGGCTCCATTTTTGTGTCGCTATGTCCTAGTGTCGTATTGTCTGCTCTCCTTCAGAATTTGATGTCGATTTGCCAACACTGAACAGATACAGTCCTCCGTATTGTTGTGAATCCTTCACTAGAGATGTTGCTGAATATTCCTATTTCTTTAAGCATGTATCGAACTGCAGGCTCGTAATGGCCGAAGGCGAGCTTTTCAGCTCTTGAAAAACCAGTCCTACAGCTGGGCTGGTGATTTGGGAATTCATCGTAGTTCTTCTAAACTAGCAGCTAGCTTTATTTGGTATCCGCTATTTCACACATCGTAGTCCGAAGCAGTTGGAGATATAAATTCATTATTAATTCATCAATTATTTTTTTTACCTTTGTGTGGATGACTCTTTTCTCGGTGAACAATTAAGAAGGTACTTCGTAGGCCTAGTTTACTGCGACACCTTTCGGCTTTTGTTTCTGTTCGGAGCCAACTTAACGACTTGCTGCTCTTTCTTCAGGGCCGCCCTAAGGGTGCACTTGACGATCACAACAAGACTTTCGCTCGGGATGACATTGAGCCAATGGACAACCTGGAAGAGATTGTGAAGAAGGTGAAACCGACGGTCCTTATTGGTATGTTTGTCTTTTCTTTTTGTTCTGCTTCTATCATCTTTTTTATGTTACTTAGGGCACTCTCGCTCCTCCTGTGTGGTCTAAGCGTCTTGCCTTTTCTTTTATTCGTGATACACAGCACAGAGGTTTGCATTTTATTGCGTGGAATTTATTGCAATGTTGAATATGTACCGATTAGAATGTCTACCGACCTCCTACTTTCATGAATGCTTGTTAGCAACCCGAGGTGCGCAGCGTGAGTCAGGTGTGTAGAAAGGTAGAATAAAACCTACCTTGGACTGAGTGATGCGCTTGGTAAAGTCCACCATGGAATGGCACAAATTTAACAAACAACTATTTCCCAGCGGTGAAGTCCGGCGACCATTGCGTATGTCGTAGGTACTCGGTTATTTCCTCGTAGAATTCAAATTGCCTCGTCGTTGCCGTTTGTCGTGCGCAAGTCCAGTCAGAATGCGCGGACCCCTGCCTTTCGCTACTGAGATTGTAGCTCGTCGGACAGCGTTTATGTGGGCAGCATGGTGAAGGAATGGTTTGCCGTGGTTTCTGGACACGATAGCTTTGCATGTCGCAGTATTCGTCTCTTCCAGGATAATTTGGCTGTTCTGAAGTGTGTTAAGTCCAAAGTACGGACACCGAATGCCTTAGATACAGATAAATGTAGGATCATTTTAAGTCAGAAACCATCAGAACCACTACACGAGCCCATGACAACAGTTTATTTCACCAAAAATTCAGGACTCTCATTCGAGCGCAGATTTAATTAATCGCGTCGGATACGGAACGACGATACCTTAAAATAAGGGAGAGAGACTCGTTCGTTGGGCTGATTCCATCCATCATTGGCCGGTGTTTCGAACGGCTGGGTCTGCTGTCCTTTGTCAGTGCGCCCCTCGCAATTAAAGTCAGCACACTTTCCAAACTACTTGCCTACTTAATCGGCCTTAGGTTGGCTTATGCTCTTGCTATCTTGTTCTGGCCCTGCATGACCATTTATTGAAGTGGAGGTGGTGGCGCTGCCCTAATTTCATAAGTAAATCTTTCGCATTAAAAAATGCTTTTTTTTTCTTTGGAGCCACCTTGGTCTAACCTTGTCACGGCCATGGTATCGTGGTCTCTGTGTAGGTGTGAAAATTAAACCTCTCAAACTGGAGGGAGATTGATCTACCATTTGAATGCGCTAAAGTTTGAAGGGTAGTACTTCAATTAATCGCGTCTCCCATCCGGAGGCTTAGGGTTTAAGCAGATAGGAAACATCTAACTGCCGCCTATTTCCGCTGCACTTAGAGTACACAAAAAGAACTTCAGTTCACGTCAGCGCTAATTCGTAAGAGGTGATTACCTTCATGAGATGCTTCGGTTGAAGAAAATAGCGTAGTTAGTGATCATTTCGTTTACTGGGAAAGTCACGAATGGCCGAAGAATGTTGACGGTGGGGAGCGCCTTTTCTGTTCTGGTTTGCAGCTGTCGGAACTGGACTAGGGTTTGTCTGGAAAATATGACGCTGGAGGTTTTCCCGCCGGTGTGTGTATCTTTCGCTGTATGCTGCCGTGCTTCCGGTACCTAGACGACTTTTTTTTACACTCTAACCCACCTGTCCTCCCTATGCAAGGTGCTTCCGGAGTGGGCGGTCTCTTCACGCACCGTATTCTGCAACAGATGACGAAGAACGTCGACAAACCAATCATCTTCGCTCTTAGCAACCCCACCGACAAGGCCGAGTGCACGGCAGAAATGGCCTACAAAACCACTCAGGTGAGTCATTCCCGTTGTGTCACCTCCCCATAAATTCCCACCACTGTGTGTCCGTGTGCCCTGGATAGCTAGCCTCCTTCGGGAGGCC